CCCTGGGTTCAGGGCAGTAGCCGCACCACAAAGGGCTCTTTGTGCACTGCCTATCTCCCTCATAGGCAAAACCAAAGTGGAGAGAGCCCCGCGGACAGCATTATCCACACCAGGGTGGGCCGGGGGGCGTAAGCGCAGCAACAGGATGTGGTAAGCTCCCTGCTCGCCCTGCTGGCAGTTTCCTTGCTCCTGCCCCTCTATGCATTAGGTAAGAGGCTCAGGCACTACCGTTGTGCTTCCCACCGATGCAGGTTGGGCATGATCATTATTCGCTGCCCCAGTGGTATGTTACTGAGGGGGAGGGGAATGTTGGGTGCAGGCTAGCTGTGCAAAGCATTCTTCCTTTCCCCTCACCCCTCCGTAGCCAGAGAGAGGTGAGTGCGGGGCACTGCAAAGACCAGGCATGGGGAAGTGGACGTGGGGCACCGCCAGGGCCAGGCATGGGAAGGGCTTGTAGGGAGTGGGGAACGTAGCAGGGACCAGACAAGCACAGGATAGGACTGGCAGGGTGCAGCAAGTGGGAAGTACTACAGGGCCCAGGCATGGGGAAGAACAGGGGATGGAACAGTCAGGGGGCGCCACAGAGCTGGACATGGGGAGTGGTTGGTGAGGGGTAGAGGGTTGCTAAATGTTGGTTTGACATGATTTGTTCTTGACAAATCCATGCTGGCTAATACCTATGATTTTATTATTTTCTAGATGTTTGCAAGTGAATTCCTTAATTATTTGCTCCATTATCTTTCCTGGTACAGAAGTTAAGCTGACAGGTCTGCAGTTTCCTGTATTGTTCTTATTTCCCTTTTTATAGATATAAACTGTATTTGCCCTTTTCCGGTCTTCTGGAATCTCTCCCGACTCCCATGATTTTTCAAAAACGATAGCTAATGGCCCAAATACCTCCTCTAACAGCTCCTTGAGAATTCTAGGATGTGTTTCATCAGGCCTTGAGGACATTTAACTTTTCTTAGTAATTTTAACTTTTTAACTTCTTATCCTACCCCATTTCTACTAGCATTCACTGTGGTAGGCATCCAGTCGCCTACCAACCTTCTTGGTGAAAACTGAAACAAATAAGTCATTAAGCACTTCTGCCATTTACACGTTTTTTGTTATTGAATCTTCCTCTTCATTGAGCAATGGGCCCATTCTGTCCTTGGGCTTCCTCTTGCTTCTTATGTATTTGTAGAATGTTTTCTTGTTACCCTTTATGTCTCTTGCTAGACTGAGCTCGTTTTGTGCCTTTGCCTTTCTAATTTTGCCCCTACATAATTGCATTGTTTGCTTATATTCATCTTTTGTACTTTGACCTAGTTTCCACTTTTTTATATGACTCCTTTTTTATTTTAAGATCATTTAAGATCAGTTAAGCTAAGGTGGTCTCTTGCCATATTTCCAGTCTTTCCTATGCAGTGGAATAGTTTTCTCTAGAGCCCTTAATAATGTCCCTTTGAGGAACTGTCAGCTGTCTTCAATTGTTTTTCCTCTGAGTCTTGCTTCCCATAGTACTTTACGTACCAGCTCCCTGAGTTTAATAAAGTCTGCCTTCCTGAAATCCATTGTTTCTATTTTGCTGTTTTCTCTCTTACCATTCCTTACAATCAGGAATGCTGTCATTCCATGATCACTTTCACCCAAGCTGCCTTCCACTTGCAAATTCTCAGCCACTTCCTCCCTTTTTATAAAAAATCAAATGTAAATCAGCTTCCCACCAGTAGCTTTCTCAACCTTCTGAAATAAAAAAAAATGTCTCCAATGCATTCAAAAAATGTGTTCGATAATCTGTGCCCTGCAGCATTGTTTTTCCAAAAGATGTCTTGATAGTTAAAGTTCCCCCATCATCACCAAGTCCTGTGCTTTGGATGATTTCATTAGTTGTTTAAAAAAAGTCTCATCTACCTCTTTTGCCTGGTTAGGTGGTCTGGGGTAGACCCCTACCATGATGTCATTATTATTTTTTACGTATTTTAACCTAACCCAGAGACTTTCAACAAGTCTGTCTCCTATGTCCATCTCAACCTCCAAGTGCATACATTTTTAATATATAAGGCAACACCTTCTCCCTTTTCTCCCTGCCTGTGCTACCTGAACAAGCTGTGCCCTTCTATATCAATATTCCAATCATGTGTATTATCCCACAGTCTCTCTGATACCAGCTATGTCATAGTTGTGTTTATATACTTGCACTTCAAGTTCTGCCTACTTACTCCCGTACTTCTTGCATTTAGACACTGATCTGATTTTGTCTCCCAGTTCTGCCTTGTCCCTCCTTTATCTCTGCTATTTTAGTCCATTCTCTCCCTCATTTCTGTCCCATTTCCCAGGTCTCCGTGTTTTTTGTTTACTTTTGGGCTTTGGTCAGCTGTTCCCATCAAACCTAGTTTAAAGCCCTTCTCACTAGGTTTGCCAGTTTTTTTCCAAATCTTCTCTTCTCCTTCCTCAATAGGTGAACTCCATCTCTGCTTAGCAGTTCTTCTTGGAACAGTATCCCATAGTCAAAGAAGCCAAAGCCCAACACCATGTTCACAGCCAGGCATTCAACTCCAGGATGCACCTGCCTCTGCCTGGTGACCCTACCATTGACCGGAAGGACTGAAGAGAACACCACCTGTTTCAAACTCCCTGAGTCTTGTATTCTGCTTAAGGTCACACCTTGCAGTATTATTAGTGCCCACGTGGGTGAGTAGTATGGTGTAGTAGTCAGAGGGCTGGATGCTCCTCAATAATCCCTTCAAAGGGTCTCTGATGTTGGTCCCTGGCAGGCAGCATGCCTCCCGGGATGTCATATCAGGGTGACAGATGGGTGCCTCCATCCGCCTCAGAAGAGATACTGTGTGCGTGTATCTCTGTGACAGAGAGACAGAGTATGCTGCTCCTTTAAGCATATCGGAATTCAGTCTGAAGCCTGCTTCAGACAAAGCAGCAGACGCCAGCAAGCCCCCTGAGCCCTGTTGTGTCCCATCCCTTGCTGTGCAGAGATGCAGTACAGGGGGAGAGGACACCTTGATATGAGTGCCCCCTTTTTCCACTGCCCCCACTCTGCCCAGCAAACAGGAGGATCTCAGGCAGAGGGCAGGAGCAATGTTGCAATGGGGAAAGAACATCTGAAATGTGTGATACTTGATGGGTGGCCGGGTGGCCTCACCGTTTAGAAAGAACTGAAGCTGTGCTTCCAAGTGTTAGGCATCTAAATCTATCCTGATTTTTAAAAATTCAGCACGGTCATAGTTTGTCCAGCCCACGTCAGCCTCTGGGCATAAGGCAGACTAGAGCCCTGTGGTCAAGTGATGTGTGGGCGGCCTGCTAGGCAGATATTAGAGACAGCCTGGAGCAATGTCTGGATTTCTCACCAGGGTCAGGAGCCAGGAGATCCAATCCAAGGAGGTGGGATGGCAAAATAGGTAGGCAAGGTTGGGTCAGGTAACAAGGTAATATCAGCCAAGACAGCATGTCAAAGCTGGGCGAGGTGGCAACCCATAGGCTGTGACCTGTTGCTCAGAAACCTTCTGCTTCTTCTTGAGGTCTTTGTGTGGTCTAGGTACCTAAAGAGTATGCTGTCTGTACAACATGACTGCTGTGTGACTAAAGGGCCACAATACAATGCACTATTGTGGTGTCGCTGGTAGGGATGCTGCCTAAAGATGTGATGGGCCTGTGTTCAATACTGGCATCCTGATGGTGACTAGTGTTGGTCAAGGTGATGGTTCAGCCAACTCCTGTATTACAGAGGCTAGGTGTGCTGTTTGGGGAGCCAGCACGCTTTGATTCAATACCAGTATCCTGAGAGAGCTCTTATTGAAGTCAGTGAGGGTCATGGGTAGTCAGCATCTTTGAAATTTTGATTTTCAGTTCCTACATGAGGAATTAGTCAAACATGCATATCTCAGCCTTAACCCAAGGAAGTGAGCTAGTGGCTTAATCCTCATCCATTCATGCCCTGGCCTCACTGCTGAGCCTGCCAACTAGCATGCCAATTGTTGCAGAAGATTTTAAAATGTGGATGACATCTATTTGGAGCTGAACTAGAGAACAATTTCACAAGGGGTATTGTATAGGCCATCATGATAGCAACTTTCATGTGCATTGAGTCTATCCTAAATTTGAACTCATGAGATGAAGATGATGGGGCAAAGGGCCCTATATTTCATTGCTAATTATTTATCAGTCCTCTGAATCCTGTGTTTAATTCTGTGTTAGATTTACCAAGAGGAACATGTGCTGGCATCTTGAAATGAGATTACCGTAGCATCTGTATAAAAAACACATAAGTATGTCTCAAGCAGATGTCATGATGCCTCGGAGATTTCTTGTGTAGACTTCATAAACTTGATATAATTTTAAAAGTATGCAGCAAAGTGAATTGACTATTCATCTGTTTGTCAGAGTGTCCCGGGGGACCAGATGCTGGCCTCTGTTAAAGCTGCTTGGCCCTGCTGACAGCACAAAACCACTTCAAAGTTGTCCTAATGTGGGGGGATCCCTGTCCAGCAGAGAACTTATGCAGCCCTGCTTTCCCCCATTGTAGAGGATGGACAAGAGTAGGAGTATCTAGAGCAATTCTTGTCTATGTAGCAATCATTATAATGATGCCTCCAAAATGTATAAGGGTCAAACGCAACCATGGGTATCAGACGAACATAAAGGTGTCATCTTACTCTGACAGTTCCTTGCTGCAGAGTACCCCCTGAGACTGATCCAAGGATTAGAGAGGGAGAGAGCAAACATGGCTTAAAGCCACTTTTCTAGGCCCCAACTAACACCACCTCTGCTGCACTGAGTGGTAGTCTACTGTAGTAGAGGATCTGGGCCTAGAATTTCTCAAGAAACATAAACTACTTCAGGCAAAACATAAACTACTTCAGCTCTTATTATTATTATTATTATTTTATTAGTTTGTTTGGATTATTTGAATCTTGTACTAATTAATTTATCTGTTTTCTTTACACATAAAAGGTGCAGGGAGACTTCTCTTATTGATTATTGTATATGTTTTACAATTCCAGGTATTGCTCTCTGGATTTCTTCCAAAACCTGAGTCAGACAATTCTTTGACAAGTCTTTCGAGTTCTGAAAGGAGTTTCATCTTTATAAACAATCGGCCAGTACATCAGAAGGAAATATTAAAGGTAGCATACCCCGCCTTTCTAATTCAATAGAATAAAAAGAGGTTTCTAACTTTCTACCCACAAACAATAGCTTCTGTAAATTAATTGCAGGTACAAAGGTTAGCATTTGGAAGTCTAAGTGCACTACAGTTGATTGTGGGAACAAAATTAAAGACTATATTGAAGCCCCTTCTTTTCTGATGGAGAGAATCAAATAATTCTCACTTGAGACTCAAAGTTACACGATTTTTTTTTTCAACAAAAGCTGATATCAGGTGTACAGCCTTTAAGAAGAATCAAGTGAGACCAGTCTTTTGCCTCTTAGATTCAATAGGCCCTGGTTCCCATCTTAGTTAGACTTTAAGCTTCTTGGGATAGCAATGGCGTGCCAAAAGGGAAAACAAAAGGCTCAGGGCCATACTATATAATTAAACATGATCTGTTGAATCAGGTAGTACCAATACAAAGGAAGGTAGTAGAAAGCTCTTGATGCCATGGAAGTACACATGGCCTGTCTTAGAGATGCACACAGTCATTTTTTTGGTAGACATTTAGCAGCAGATAATACCCTCAGTAGAGTCCTAAGAGGTTCTACAGGGTGGGTGTATGAGCGGAAGTCCAGCACTAGTGCACTTCTTGCCCAGAGTGCTAGTTGCACAATCCCCAACCTCAATTAAGGACCCCATTGGTATACCTGTAACTTAAGTCCCTTTTGAATGGACAGCCATGGATCTAGTGGGCCCACTAGAAAGATTGGCCCAGGGCCACCGAAGCATACTCATAATCCTAAACAGGGCACCCCAAAGGTATTCCTCTAAGAAACTTGATTTCCAACGTGATCAAAAACGAACTGGTCAGGTTTTTACTAGGATAGGCATTCTGACAGACCAAGAGACTCCCTTTACATTGAGAATAATGAAAAACTACTATATTCTGCTCAGCATCCAAGCCTTGCAAAATTCAGTCTATTATCCTCAAACAGATGGTCTGGAACCTGCACTCTGTAAAGTATGACCAAAAGGTGGTGGCCCAAGGTGGAAAAGACTGGGACACCCTTCTCCTGTATCTGATGTTTGCGATACGAGAATTTTTCCAGGCATCTATTGTATTCTCCCCCTTTGAGCTACTGTACAGATGCCGCCCACATGACGTATTAGACATCACAAAGGAGGAATGGGAGGAACAACCCAACCTCGGGAAGAACTTCACACATGTGGGCCAGATGAGAGAACAAATACCCCAAATGACCCCCTTGTACAAGAGCATTTGGAGAAAGCACAGAAGACTCAGTGAACTTCCTATAACGATTAGGTGAAAACATGGAAATTTCAACCAAAAGAACTGGTGCTGGTACCAACAATAGAAAGCAAGCTCCAGGCCAGTTGGCATGGACTCTGAGATCTTGAAAGCTGTTGGGGAGATGATTTAAAAGGTGAAGCAGCCAGACTGCCAAAGGCCAGAACAGATCTACCACATCAACTTACTGAAACCCTGGTATTATCGGGAATGCCTGCCAGGTCCACCCAAGGGAGATGGCCCACAAGGGCAGGTAAGGATGTCTCCTGAATTAGCCCGATAACAATGAACAGAGATTGTTTAAATGATCCACCAGAACCAAGATGTGTTCTCACACAACCAAACAATGCTGATCCAATACCATATTATCACCTGTCTTGGAGCAAGAGTGACAGTAAAACCATATTGAATACCAGAGTCAAAAAGGGAAGAAATCAAGATGGAAGTAAGGAAGAATTGGGGAATCCCACAGCCAGCAGTCCAGCTCTATCATCTTGGTCCCCAAGCCTGGCAGCATCTGGAGGTTATGTAATTATTTCCAGAAGTTAAACAAAGTATCCTAATTCAATGCCTACCTGATAGCACATATCGATAAGCTGGTGGATCAGTTAGGCAAGGCCCGATACTTGACCACCTAGGACTTGAAAAAAATGCTACTGGTACATCCCCCTGAATGAGGACACTGAGTAAAAATACAATTTCTCTACACTGACCGCCTCTTCCAATTTATCATCCTCTCTTTTAGGCTCCATGGGTTCCCCACAACTTTCCAATGGTTGATGGACAGATTACTTTAACACCATGCCGAATATACTGCTTTTTGCTTAAACAGTGCAATAATCCATAGTCTTGGCTAGGGTTGAGAAAGTGAAAGTGGTACTAGATGCTTTTAGACAGGCCAGCCTCACTTTTAACCTATCCAAACATGCAAAAAGTTTGGCCAAGGCCAGATATCTTGGTATATAGTCAGCAGGAGCCTAGTGAAACCCCAGAGGAACAAAGTGGAGGCAAAACAGGAAAGGCCCTGCCCAATCCACAAAAAGCGACTCCGAGCATTCATAGAGATAGTGAGGTACTGCTATCGCTATTTCATTCCGGACTTTGCCATAAGGGCAGTACCTCTGACGGACCTGATAAAAGCTTGAGGCCCCGAGATAGTTAAGTGGACCGACGCAGAGGAAGTAGGTCTAAGTCCCGGATGTCGAGAAGGAACACATTCTACAAATAGACTCGTTGGAGGTAGGACTTGGGGCTGTCCTTTCACAGATAGTGGGGGATGAGGAGCACCCAATCCTTTACCTCAGCTCTTGTCCCAGGGGACAATGGTACACTGTAAGAAAAAAGGAATGCCTAGCAGTTAAACGAGCCATGGAGACTCTATGGTACTACCTACTGGGTAGTAGTTTACCTTTGTGATAGATTAACCCACTCCAATGGATACACACAAACAAGGAGAGGAATGCATGAGTGACTAGGTTAGGAATCATCTAAAAGCGACGAGGAGTCCTGTGGCACCTTATAGACTAACTGAAGTGTAGGAGCATAAGCTTTCGTGGGCAAAGACTCGCTTCATCAGATGCATCTGACGAAGTGGGTCTTTGCCCACGAAAGCTTATGCTCCTACACTTCAGTTAGTCTATAAGGTGCCACAGGACTCCTCGTCGCTTTTAGATGATTCCTAACTCTATAACCTTTCCACTTCCAAATAGATCATAGAGTCAGAAGCCAGCACAGCCATATGGACAATGTGTCTCACCCCAAGTAGCCCAAGCCTGTGGTGTTGGTGTTGGGGTGGGGAAAATATATGGTGCAGCAGGAGCAGGGAGCAGTCATCCTATTTGATTCTGGGAAGTAGGCGGGCATAAGCAGGAAGCAGTGGTAGAGGGGAGATATATAAGCCCTGTAGACTAGGGAATGTTATTGTGGATTAATTGGAGCACGTGTAGTCAATTAAGGTCCTGTCAGGAACCTAATAAAAAACTCTGTTTCGGGAAGAGAAGAGCGAGGAAGGAGAGAAGATTGGAGTTTGGGGTGTGTTGCTGAGAATTGAAAGACGAGAAAATCAGAAGAAGGGAGACCCTGCCCCAGCAAAGCAGAGAGATTTCTTCCCCCAGCGTCCAGGACCAAGAGTAAACATACCAAGGGGAAAGGGATAAGAAATCTCAGAAGTTGAGAGGTTCTAGGATTCAGAGTGAGGCGCAAACACAGACCTCTTTCCCGCTTCCTTTACCACCTTCTCAGGCCACTAGCAGAGCCATTGGCACCCAAAGAGCAGGGGCAATGGGTGATGTCTAGTCCCTTCTCCCCTATCAAGAAAAGCATGAGAACCACCATACCAACATTGGCCATTTTGTCATAGTATATTTTCCTTCTTTTTTCTTTTTTTAAATTCTGATATAGTCGTGTTCCATTTGTCTTGGGAAAAAGAGCTGGGTCTTCTGCCAATTTTGGGCACTGAGTACCTTTTCCTCTAAATACTGCATATGAAGTGGACTAAACATATTATTTCAGGAAGTTCAAGGAATCACCGTCAATAATTTGAATCAGATTTTTCTGGGACTTAGTGGCATAAAGGCAGTGGAAACCCCTCTGAAAATGCCCTATTGAGGATTTTCCTGGTGTGCAAATATTTAGTATATTTTTTTTAATATGACAAAATAGAAATTAAAAATAATTGTATAGTTAGAATTTTGCTTCTTTATTTTTGGATTGATGTTATTACTTTTACTGACTTTCCTTTGTCACGTTTGTCTGTAGCTGATTCGGCAGCACTATAATCTGAAGTCACATAAGGATTCTTCTCGTTCCTACCCTGTTTTCTTTATTAATATTACCGTACCTGCCTCCGCTGTGGATGTTAATTTAACACCTGATAAAACTCAAGTTTTACTTCACAATAAGGTAATTTATATTTTAATTTGTTTTAGATTGGAATTTTTCTTACGTAGGCCCTGCTTTTACAAAGACTTGCCACATTTTATTTTACACAGGCATAGCTCACTGGTTTCAGTGTGACTACTCAGGTGCTTGAAATTACGCATATGCATTTACAGGACCGAGGCCTTAGTAGTTCATACATAATAGGCTTTCCTTATAACGTGACTATTTGAAAATTATTGATTTGAATCACTTGCCATTTATTTGAAATTCATTCCTCCGTTGATTTTAAAGATAATTTGAATACTATCATACTAATCCCTGTTTCACACATGCTCCCTTCAGAGTCCATCATCATCAGAACTTCTGTACTGGGTCTGTTTTTATTGTGTCCTCCTTAATCTCCCTGAGCATTTCACAATCACCTTCCTGCTGCTGTACCCTTTACAACATCTGATATACTGCTATCCTCTTTATAACAAAAGCCATAAGTTCATTTGTGTCTTCAAAGAGCTGCTTGCACCAGTCAAACATAGCAATTTTATCACTATAGCGTTTTTCATCTTCAAATGGCATTATAATGACTGATTAGTCTGTAAATAGCAATATGATTTATTCCTTTGTACATAGTTTTATAGTTACATTAAATGGGAGTTTAAATTAGGGATGAGGATGTTTAACTGGTTAACCATTAGCAGGTGAGGCTTACCGGTTCCGGTTAGCTGGTAGGGGCTGGATTAGCGCCCTGCCCACCACGGTCACCCCCAACCCTCTTTAATCAGTTAGCCAGTTAAACATAGTGTTTAACCAGTTACCCAATTAAATGGGATTTTACATCTCAATTTTAATACAACATTAATAGTAAACACTTGAGTTGTTTCTGTTTAGGGCCAAATTTTGTCATTGTGTGTGAGTGGCATGCCTTTTAACATCGTGGCTACAGGATTTAATATTCATGACTAAGATTGAAATTTGGTCCATTGACTTTTGTAGCAGAGATCACGTAGAAATAGATTGTGATACACTTACTTTCATTGAATAGCACCTTAAACCATGAGTAGTACCATGGAAATCAATGGGTTTTCTTATACTGCTCAAGTTCGATAAGAGCTTAGTACACACTACAACAGTCACGTCCAATGGGAGCTGCAGTAAGGAGTGTGCCAGCTCGCACTGCTTCCCGCATCTCCCAGTGGCTGGGAATGGCAAACTGCAACCAATGGAAGCTGAGAGTGGATGTACCTGCAGACACACAGGTAAATAAAGCATCTGGTGAACCGCATTCGGCCCGCGGGCTGCTTATTGCTTTTCTAACTCCAATTAATGTATGCTGAGTGAGAATAGATATATTAATACTGTTCTAAAGAAATAACATGTGAATACAGGCTGGACCTTCTGGTCTGGCACCCTTAGGACCTGACCAGTCCCGGTTGAGGGAATTTTCCAGACCAGGGGAGCTCATTTCTGGCCCCCCTGCTACCAGCCCTGGCCTGGCTGAAGGTCGCACTGTCCTGCCAGTCCACACTGCCCCTTTTCTGCCAAACCAGGCAGCCCAGCTCTCACTGCATCAGGCTCCCACCCCTCTGAGCAGCCCCACTGTGGCGTGCCGGACTCCCGGCCCCACTGGGCAGCCCAGCTGGGTTGCTCTGGGCACACAGCCCAGCTGAGCAGCCACACTGCAGTGTGATGGGCTCCTGGCCTCGCCTGGCAGCTCAGCCTGAAGGATCTGGGCTCCTGGCCCCACTGGCATCTCGCTGCCAGCAGTCCACAACCCTGCCAGCCCACAGGGCTCCTTGGCACCAGCCCTCCATCAGGATTCTCTAGTCCTGGAATATCCGTGGTCTAATTCCCAGACCAGAGAGTCCCAATTTACAGAGGTTCAACCTCTACTAGGTCATAAAGAAGATGGTACACCTGTTTTGTGGTATTAACATTTATCAGTGAAGCTAAAGGATTTCACTGATTAGTGAATGTTTAGAGTACTTTAAGGCAAAGATATCAGCAATTAATGCTTAGTAATACAATTTACTCCAAAAAATACAGTGGATAGAATTGTTTTTCTTATTGCTATTGTGTTGTGTCAACACTTGTCAAGTACATTTTCATTGACAATTTGTCCTAATGCTTATGAGTTTTCTTTTCAGGAATCTGTATTATCTGCTGTTGAAAATGTATTGACATCGCTGTATGGGCCACTATCTGGTACAGTTTCTTGTGAAATGAATAAAACAGATGTTACCTCAGTGGACATGGTTGTTAATGAAACAGCACAAACAGACGTGCTTGTTAATAAAATTGAACCATCTGGAAACAGTGATCCACGTACATATACTTCATTCTTTTCATTCAGTAATGATGTGCAAAATGGTCAAGCAGGAAAAAACACAGAGGTCTGCTTAAAGCATCAAGGATTTTCTAGTGATAATACTCATGGTTTCCTCAACAGAAAAGAAGTTTCTGGCACTGACGTGACTGTGAGTGATATACCTCAAGACAGTTCCATAAATAATGTATCATGTGACGACAGCCAGGATGGATATAGTGTAACATTAACCCTAAATGGCAGTACTCACATGGACACTCAATCTAAAAACAGAAGTGAGCATCCTTTGAAAGCTGGTCACACTAATGAAATACAAAAAAATGAGGCAAATATAGTCCCTGAATATGTATCTGAAATCTCTGCTGATAATTGGAGCATGGGAAATGCACTTAAAAATCCTACAGGAGAGAACCTGGAACCTGTAAAGATTTTGGTACCTGAAGTAGGAGCAATAACAAATCACATGGCCAATGAAAATATTGATGAACAAGATCCTGATCAGCAGAGTCCAAATCAAAGTATAAAAAAATCAAATGTGGTTAATGATAAAGCAGGACAGATCATGGCCTATGATTTAATTAGTAACAAAATAATACGGAAACCCATGTCAGCAGTGGCCTTGTTCACCCAAGAATATCGTTCTGGATTATTAACAGATAATCCAAAAGCTAATATGGAGAACTTGATGAAAAGTGAAGAACTATGGGAGAAACTGAGCAGAGAGCAGAAAAAGAAGTAAGTGTCCAGAATTTGCACCTGACCTATAAGCTTTGTAGTTTCCATTCTGGGTGACTCACTGGGAGCAAAACATGAAAAATAAATCCACATCGTTTATTTAAAAAACAGAATGGAAAAATCATTTTGGCTAGCGCTTGTATTGCTAATTATGATATTTACTGTGTGCAGATGTGTATTGCTCTCTGATTTATTCATTTTGATATTACTAATTTTTCCCATCTGTTTTTCAATTTAAATGTGTTGCTGTCTTTTGTAAAATATTTCTTGTAGAAAAAGACAGTGACTCTGTATAATTGCCACCTTACTTTGGTAGATTTATAATTTATTCTTTAAACACTTGGCATATTTTGTGTGTTCTCTTTGCCATTATACATACCTCATAGCAATTACTAACACCAATCTTCCTCTGTCAAGTAGGAAGGCACGTTTTGGGCTACTTTTTTCCAAGGGCCAGCAAATTCATTTTGCTGACTTATATCCCTTATAGCTGCATTGACAGCATTCCTTTAAGTTAGTGGAATTGCACAGGTATGTAAGATTACACAAAACATCACTGCATTTTTTACTGTATTTATAACAATTACTCTGAATTACTTTTAATCTTGTTATATATTTTAGAAATGAGTTTGTCTGTCCATACGTGAGTCTGTTTGTTCAAGAACTCCTCCTAAACAGAAAGAGCTAGGACCATCAAATTTGATATGCAGCTTCCTCCTATTATAACTTAAAGCAAGGTAGGGGTTTGCTTGTGCCAAGACAATGGAATGTGCCTAGAATTCAGTTGTTTTTCTTAAAAGAATAGAGAGGGGTCTTTTAGGAGAGAGTTACATTGTAGAGTGACCTGGGGGGACGGAGGCGCAGTAAAGGGCCAGAGATGGAGACCCAGACAGCACCATTGGGCCAGCAGGGGCCAGGAATAGAGAAAGGGACCTCTATCTACTATATAGTTCAGAGAGTTTGTCTGTTTGTGTGTCTGTCTGGGTGTCTATCTGTCCCTTAGCAAAGGGGACATGTTCCCCTCTCCTGGCTAGGCCTGCTGCAGCTGCAGTGGCCTTGGAGAGGTGCTTCTCAGCTGGCCCCAAGCTGTTGCAGTGAGAGGGGGCTGGAGTTATTCTCTCTCCCTGGAGCATCCTGCATACTGAATCCCTCATCTCCAGCCCCAGCCCAGAACAAAGATTTAAATGAAGAGAAACAAAACTTATTTGAGTTAAGGACCCGTGCAATGCGAGATAAATCTTCTAGTCTACTATATATTTGAGTGCATCTTTTTTTGTCTGTCTGTTCAAGAATTCCTTCTAAACAGTAAGAGCTAGGATGTCCAAATTGAGTATACAACTTCCTCTTACAATAATCTAAAGCAAAGTCAGGGTTTGGTTGTGCCAGGAAGATCCGGGGGCTGTCCTGGGCGAGATCGGGCGGAAGTGCATGCCCCCTGCCAGCCCTTTTCACCTGTCTGGTGATCTTGTCTCTTTTACGTATGGTTTTATCAGAAGCAATCCAATTCCATGCATGTACATTTTCATTTTATTTTTCAAAAAACCAAAATGAATTAAGGACCCAAGCAACGCCTGGTCAATCTTCTGGTAAAATATAACTATCACATCTTGTCATTCCCATGTGTTTTTAGAGGCAAAATTCTGGCCTCATCCATGCATTTGTTGGGGTGCCCCCACCCCTTTTAGCTATCATAATTCTGCTAGGTGAGTAAGTCCAATGTTTAGGATGATCAGGCAGTAGGGTACAGCTCCTGAATTACATGAAGCCCACTTTTACACGGTCTTAGCAGTAGGCTGTCATTCTGAGTGTATTGTGGGAGTATGTTTGCATTTGAGGATCCACCACAATATAGTTCCTCCAGTCATCCTCCACTACATACCCTGTTTTATTTATTTTATTCATTGCTCTGAACAAAAGGAATCTTTCTCGGGCTCTAGGAATTTGATCAGGAATTTGTTCTGATTTTTTAATACAATTTTTTAATTAAAAAAAAATCCTTAAGCCCAGCAGGTATCTCAGCCCCATAACTATGTATAAAAAACTGCATCAGATGATGAATTATGAGAAGTATTTCATGCTGTTCAAATCCCCACTAATTCAGAGATCTCAGGACTCCCCAGCATTCAAACAACTAGATTGTCTTGAGCATCAGCCACAGAGAAACTCTATGGATTGTAGAGAAGAAATAAATTAACCATATCTCTAAATCATTCACTTGTTCATATTTTGGTTTGATCATCTGATTTACTACCCACTGATGTTAGTGGAAGTTGCACTATGGACTTGAGTGAGAGCAGAACTAAGGCATTGTCTACACTGATGGATAAGGTTGAATTTACTACGGTAGAAATTTTAGCACCCTCATTTTGTAAAGTCAAAGGTGCATGTCCCCACTGTGTGCAAGAATTCAACACAGTTTGAAATAGCACGTTCCCAGTAGGGGGACTACTGTTCAATTTGAGAGTGATGCACTGTAAGTAGCTGTCCCACAGTTCTTGTGCCTCTTTGCATCCTAGGCCCAAACCTGTGCAGCGGGTGGCTCTAGGTACATGTAATCAGTGTCCCATAATGCATTCATTTAGTCTCTTCTCCTCCCCCCACCCGCACCTCCACCCCACCCCCCACTTGAAAGCAGTGGCAAACAGTCTTTTTGCTCCCTTTTTTTTGCTGGTTATCCGCATAGATGCCATAACATATTAAGCATGAAACCCATCACAGATCCCATTGAGCATGAAAGCATTATGGCAGTCATATTAACCATAGTGTGCCTTATGCTGAAGTATATGCAGAGCATATATAGGTTCTGCAGGAACGAGGAAGAATCTCAGGAGGCCAGGAACATACTTTTCTGTGAAGCACTTTGAGTTGAGCAACTGGCAAATGCCGCCAATGTTCAATCCTTTGGATACAGTGGAACTCTTGTTCTGGTGCAGTGAGACAAGTACAGATTGATGGGACCACATAGTGATCGGACAGTCAGCAGTAGTTGCAAAACTTTTGCATGCATAAGGCCATTTTCATAGAAGTTTGTGAATTGCTTTTCCCCACCCTGAAGCACAAAAATACCAGAACAAGACTCAGTCTGGCAGTGGAGAAGCAAGTGGCAATTATCCTGTGGAAGTTTGCAACATCACACAACTACCAGTCAGTTGGGAATCAATTCAGAGTGCAAAGGCTATTGTGATCCAAGTAGCCAAGGCAGTCAATACCCCCATTGCCAACTTTGTCCACATATTTTCCCTGGTGATACCATCACTGGACCTAACCATGTCAGTTATATGATCAAGAACACATATTTCTGTTCATCCAGAAATATAATTTATGCCATCATGTGCCAACAGTGTCCTTCTGCTATGTATATTGGACAGACTCTCAGACTCTTCGCCAAAGAATTAATGCCCACAAATCAGACATCTTCACAAGGAAAAAACAGTTTCTTTTCATTTCAACCTACCTGGACATAGTCTTAATGACCTTACTACATGCATCTTACTTGTAAGAGACTTTAACACCAGATTGCAGAGGGAAACTTCAGAACTTTCGTTCATGCTTAAATTTGACACTTTACGAATGGGCCTCAACAAAAATGCTAATTACCTTATCCATTACAAAGATAGCTTACCCATTTATCACTCCTGATTAGCCATTCATTAACTCATAAATAGCTATTCCCTCCTTCCCTCTCCTTCACCCCACCTTCTGTACGAAATCTGATTTGTCAGTTTAATAATGTGTTCACTTTTTTCTTTGTATTCCTTTGGTATATATGGTCATGCCAGTTCTCTTCTAGAATATGATCTGAGGAAGTGGGTCTTGCCCACGAAAGCTCATCACCTATTAAACCATCTTGTTAGTCTTTAAAGTGCTATATAGTTTTTCCTTCTATAGAGGATAGAGAGTCTGGGAAACATGGAGGATATAGTGGAGGGCTTTGTCACAATGGGGTTTGGTAAAGAGGTGGGGCGAGAGACGGAACACACTTCCTTATCTTGGCACTGAACCACTTTGCCAAAGAGTAGATAAATTTCAAAGAGTACTTCTCGATGGTGCTGCAGGCACTGGTGGATCACAAGGGCTGGTTCACCTACATCAGTGTGGTATGGTTGGGAAAGATGCATGACACACACATCTTTAGGATCTCTTCAGAAATCTGCAGTGGAACTTCCTTCAGACCAGAAAATTGCCATCAGGGGTGTTGAAATGCCAATAATGATCCTTGGAGACCTAGCCTACCCTCTTGCTCCTGGGACTCATGGGGCTGTATACGGCAGGGATGTAAAATCCCATTTAATTAGTTAACCAGGGAAACATTAAGTTTAATCGATTAACTGCTTAAATGGCAGCGGATGGGGGGCATTCCAGTCTGTTGGGCTGCAGTTGCCCCAACAACCACCACAGCCAGAATAGAATGGCCCCCGCACTGCTGGCAGGGGCTGCTCCAGTGGGGAAGAAGAGGCTCCAGCTCCCAGCCTGCGGTCTCACGCTGGGCAGAAGGTAAGCTTATGCTGGACCCTCCCACCTTCCCC